CTCTCTCGGGATCCGAAACTCAGCGGGCCCTGGCTCCTCCCGAGACTCGCCTAGCCCGGCCCTCCGCTCCACGCCCGGCTAGTCCAGCCCTTAGGCAAGCCCTCGGGCCCGCCCCCGGACTGACTCCGCCCTCAGCACCGCCCTTGGACCCGCCTCCAGCGGGACTGTGCCTTCAGTGCAGCCTAGGCTCTGTTCGTGGTCAACACCGCCGCCTCTCAGCTCCGCCCCCAGACAACCCCAAGCCGGACTCCGGGTCTACAGTACTGCCCCAGTCCCGTCCACACCTCAGCTACGCCCTCAGCACCTCGCCACGCCCCTACAGCAGGTTTGTCCCTCCTCACGCTGAGACCATAGTCGTGCACCTCATACCGTTCCTCAGCACCATTGCTGGCCCAGTCGGAAGCCCTAGCTTGTCTTGCGTGTGCGGCTCCCACGCAGACCTGGCCATCCTGCCTGGGCTCTGCTACCTGTTGAGTTCCCAAGCTTGAGAAGATGGTGGATGTCTGGGCTTGCAGGCTTGGGGACCTATTGACCCAGTTGTCGGACCTAGAATGGCCTCCTCTAGCCAGAGGTCATTGACGAACCTTGGCATTTCACTTCAGTGCTCGTACTAACAATGGAGAATCCTCCTAACAGAGGCACGACATAGATCCGTAGCATTTCACCTACACTGAAGAGGGGAAAGGCCTGACACATTATAAGGAGAGAAGTAAATGGCGTCAGTGAGGCGAGAAATTAAGTTGGGAAGGAGGCCAACATCCTTGTGGCAGAGGGAATTGGAGGCTGTGTGCTTAAGGTGACCCCCTAGGACTCTGAAGAGAGGGAGAGTTAGGGAGCCCCATTTAGGGGGAGGCTAGTCCAGAAGGCGTTGGGTGATCCCTTCCCCAAAAGGCAGCATACCAGTGGTTGAAGGGGCTGCCCTACCGGCTTGGTTGGAGCTATGGATCCAGCTGGAGAAACCGACCTAGCTGAAATCTCCAAAGATGGGCATGAACAGAGGAAGAGGGAGGCCTGTGGGGAATTCCATGGAAGGGTAGACAGCTGCTGAGATGCTACAGTGAACCTCAGGAGTCCTGGGGGGGGGGCAGGGAATGAGACCCAAAAGTCTATAAGAAAACTTTAATTCATATAGGGCACATTCCCCAAAGGGCTTCCCAATCACCAAGATGGGACTGAGAATATGTCTCTTCAGGAAGGCCCTTAAAGAGCAGCCCAATTCAGAATAGAAGGGCTGTGTATGCACAGGGAGACAGCTCAGGGGGCAAGAGTTCATGGGAGGGAAGGACACAGGGAAGAAGTAACTATGGGGAGGAGGTGGGAGGGGAGCTGTTGCATTGTGGGAGATTGCAGTCAATGTCATCAGACAAGTATATGTGAGCAGCTGTATGGAAAATGAATTTGCTCTGTAAACTTTCACCCAAATCACAATAATTTTTTTAAAATAGTCCAATTGTATTTAATTAAAACATTCAATTAATGCCTACTCCAAGGCACTGTTATAGGGTCCTGGAATACATCAGTGAACTAAACAGAAAAATCTATACCCTCCAAACTAGAAAAGGGAAAGGGGAGTTCCCCATAACTTAAGGAGACTACAAAGAGCAAGCCCACTAGTGCCAACCTAAGGATGCCTGACTAGCCTTTCTAGCCAAGTAGGGAAGAGACTGGACAAGAAGGCAGCAGCAAACCCCATGGAAAATGTGCAAGAGTTGGTTCTTATAAACAGTTTCAATTCCACTCCCATGGAAATACCTGTTATGAATTGAATTGTGTTCCCCCTAAAAAAAAATGTGTTGTAAATCCTAACCCCTATACCTGTGGCTATTATCCCATTTGGGAATGGGGTTTCTTCTTTGTTATGTTAATGAGACAGTATTAGTGTAGGATGTGTTTTGAATCTATCTCTCTTGAGATATAAAAGGAGCAGATTGAGTTAGGAAGCAAAGAAACAGAGATACAGGAAAATACGTGCCATACCACATGACAATTAGTCAAGAAATAGAAGAGCCAACAGAGAGAGACAGACAGCACCCTGATTTCAGATTTCTAGCCTCCTAAACTGTGAGTGAATAAATTTCTGTTTTCTAAAGCCACCCACTTGTGGTGTTTCTGTTACAGCAGCACTAGATAATAGAGAAAGAATTTGGTACCAGGATGGGGATGCTGTTCTAACAAATATCTAAAATGTGGAAGTGGTTTTGGAATTGGTGGAGCCTGGGATAATTTTTGGTGTTTAAAAGGAAAAACCTAGAATGCCTTGAAGAGAATATTGGTAGAAATTATGTCAAAGGCATTTCTGGTGAGGGTTCAGAAGGAAGTGAAATGAGCTGCAGTGCAGTGAATAAATTAATATGGCACTACTAGCCATAGTCTTTGTGACTCCCACACAATTGGGTGTTATTATGAAAATAAAGTGCTGTGTCCCATCAAAGACAGCTTTCTGCTAGTGCAAATAAGAAACATGGAACCTCTGATGGTTGAGGTTATGTGTCAATATGGGCCACGCTTTTCTGTGGTTTGGCAGTTATGTAATTATCCTACATTTTGTGATTTGTCTCTATGCTTATGGTTATGGTCCCATTTGGAGTGAGTTGTCAGTTATCAACTTATTGCATTAACCTTATTTACATTTCACAGCTCATAACAGAAGGAAACAAAAATATTTGATGCACATATACAATGAAGAAATATAACAATCACAGTCCTCGTTTCTGCAGCTGGTCAAGTGGTCATAGCTGATATTCAGAA